CCTTTCTTTAGGTCATTCTTTTTATTCTGTTTATCTTTTAACGTTTTCAGCAAAGTCCTGTAATTTAATTTTTCAGTTCTGTATCATCTGCATTTGAAATTCACCACATCTGCTGTGATGATACTTGAAGATGTGTCAGTTGATCTTCTGTCAGGGAAAGTTTTCCAAACGTCTTTAACATTTCACCACATTTAACTCCCATGATCCTGGGTAATGATAATTGGCTTTCCCAGCCAGAAAACCAAGCCCACCGGATCTGATCACATCCAATGAACGTGCTCCTTTCTCTTCCTCTGGATGTTTGCTCAGGCTGAGGAGATTGTTCGCAGAGAGCTGGAGAAGAAGGAGACCCCGAGTCTGTTCTGTTTGTTAGGAGACATCCTGAACGACCATCAGTACTACGATCGAGCGTGGGAGCTGTCGGGCCGAAGGAGTGCCAGAGCCATGCGCTCCAAGGCTCTGCTGCACCTCCGGAGCAAAGAGTTCCAGCAGTGCGTGGACTGCTTTGAGGAATCGCTCAAGATCAACACCATGCAGGTACTGAGCTTTCACAGACTTTATAGGTTTAAATGCAGCTTTTTCACAGAATATTTTCCAAAATGGACGGTCTGAATTTTTTGTTTACATCTAACATGTTTAGTTGTAAAATGTGAAATTATCTATTAAGCAAAGCTCTGTTAAATTGTTCAGTATCTGGAGGAAGTAAGATATTGTTTCTTACATTTGGTTTTTATTCATTCATTTATTTTATTTTTATTATTGTCTTTATGTGAACCATGTGGTCATGAATTGTGGCCCTTGCTGGCAGATGTGTAGCTTCTATCAGCAGGTTTTGATCCTCTTTCTCTCACTGAGTCGAACATCGTTTTCTTTTTTAAACAAGCTGCGGGGCGTATATGTTATCCTCTGATCCGGCTCAGTGTAGGAACCCAAACACTGTGGCTGTAACAACGCCGAATAAGGAATCGGTTCAACACCCTCTACCCACTGGTCTTTGAAATCCTGAAAAGTTTTTTAAACAGCCATAAAATCTCAGTAGTCCTTGAAAGTTCTTTTCTCAGGATTTTAAGTTATGATTGCCTTCAGCAAACGTAGACGGCCGCATCCTTTTTTCTGCAGAATCATTGGATTTCTAATCATTTTTAATTAGTCATTCACATGGAGAGCAGTGCAGTGCTTGCAGATTTCAGGATGTCGGAGGACTCAAACACTGATTTTTTTTTTGCTGATTGGAGGTCGTATGAAGCCTACATGAGGTCATAAAAATGAAGCACATTTGGTGGCTTTGGATGCAGGAGTTTGCCCAGCAACTGAGTGGTCATAAATTCAAACCACAGGTCCGGCTTCCAGCTTCGTCCTGTCGTCGGTCTGCCACTCTAGCCTTATTGGCTCCTGATGTTGGTCAGAGTGCGGCAGCCTGGCGTCTGTCAGCAAGCCCTAGGGCAGCTGTGGCATCTTTCAACGAGCCCCAGGCCAGCCTGGCATCTGTCAGCGTGCCCCAGGGCAGCCTGGCGTCCGTCAACGACCTTCAGGGCAGCCTGCCGTCTGTCAACAAGCCCCAGGGCAGCCTGGCGTCCGTCAACGACCTTCAGGGCAGCCTGCCGTCTG